AGCATATATATGATGGCGACCCATGGCATAGACTACTACTACGCAGAAGTACTCTTCGTCCTAATATATGGATGTGAAACATGGTCTGCGAGAGATGAGGATATTCGTAGGTTATTAGTATTCGATTATAGATATCTTCTAAGCATTGCTCGTGTATCATGGGACAACTGAGTAAGAAATGCAGTTGTTAGGAAACGGGTAATAGCTAAGGATCGCAGGTCATTGGGGAAGTATTGAAACTATCATTTGACAAGATTGTGACATGTGTTGCATATGCCTAACCACCGACTGCCTCGTCGAGCTATGTTTTGTGGTGTAGGAGTAGGTTAGGAGAAAGCTAGGGGCGGCCAAATCAAAACACGGTAGAAATCCATGAAGTCACTGATAAGTGGACTGAGTCATGTCGGTAGGTGTCGACTGCCTGGTTGGGGCCCGCGAGATGATAGTGATCGATGGTTAGAAACCCTGAATGACACGGCTCAAAACCTTGTGCAATGCCACAGGTGTATTCATTTTTTGTGTTCTCTCAAATCCTAACCTTCTTAATTCCTCATCACCTTTATCTTCCTCTTTTTAAGTTTCTTTCACTAGATTGTACTTCTTGAATAATATCGTCGAACTTTGATCTCTCGGATTACTGCTAATACCTTTACTACCTCTACTATTATGTGATTTGAGTTGACAATTACATCTCTGTGCTAATGTGGTATGACAACCTGAATTGATGTACTTACGTACGAAGTTATACGTTGCTACTTATTGATTGATTGATTGGAATTCGCTGACTTCGTTAAAGCATTTTAAAGCGTAAACAAAGTGACAGCATGAAGGCGTTCCAGACATTATGCTAGTCAACATCATACTGATTTATTATTATGGATTAAACTGCAAAGTCATGCATGAACGGTAGGTCACAGACTAGTTCTACGTCAAGGTTTGTTACTCTCACTCCTTATCTTTCCACTGGCGATCAACTAGACTGTGGGGACGTAAACACCTGGGGGGGGGGAAGTACAGTATACAGAGGACATATGAAGTTCAGCTTGACAATCTGGAATTGGTAAATTATCCATCTCTTCTTTTTCCCCTACAACAATAAATGCAGATGAAGACAGCTAGGGTAGCAGCAGGCAGTCTAGTAGTAAGTCTGAACGTACACCACCCAAATTATGTCCGATGTAAAGGCTTTTTAAGGCTAGAAAATCTTTGCAAACCTGGGCAATATTTCTACTGTTGAATAGCATAAGGAACTTAAAACCAATATCAACCAATACAAAGTCAGAACTTTCAAAACCACTGACAAGACGGTTCTGCTGTAAGAGGCGGAAATCTGAAGAACTACGAAAGCCAACATCCTACTACTACGCAAAATACTTCAGATCTACTTGTCAGACACCATCAGTAACAACGTACTGTGGGAGAAGACGAACAAGATTCCAGAAGAGGACCAAATAGGGAGGGTGGTGAATAGGATAAACATTGGTGAAAAAGTAATTTATATCTCTGTGCTGGTATATTCTTATGGATAGTGAGCTCCCAGACTTCTCCATGACATCCAATCATGTGTTACAGAGCGGAGCTGCCTTACTTTGCAGTACTCTTTCCTAACCATGGTGATGAAGCTCAACGGTTTACTGGTTATCTGCTTGTCCTCCTGACAGCCATCTGCATAGGTGGGACCGGATTTTCAGCTAAACGTAGAAATGTTCAAAAAGTGGTTTATTCTTCAAGTGAACAACCTTCACACGTTAGTCATAAGAAGAAAGATAGATTCATGAAAGGTCCTATTGATGACTGGAGTAGGTTTCATTGTACAGTATATTATATAATTATGGCGCCTTAGTTTTTAAGAAAAAGATTCGCTTGTTGCTTTAGTTCAGAAGGCACCGAGAGGGATTATTCAACCTGTTCTCGTTGAATTACTCCTATAACCAGTGTGTTTCTAGAAGAAATACGACGACGAACGTATTTCCCCGCAATCAAGAACTCTCTCCTACTACTCAAATATAGATCCCAAGGAATGAAATTTCGTTACTTTGGACTAGCGAAGCTTTAAGTTCAGAGTCAAAAACAAGAGTAGAGACCGAAGAACCCAATCCGTTTATTCTAAGTCGTAAGGCATTTGATATTGAATGTTCTTGCACAGGCGAAAAACCTCCTAAGGCCAGTTTCCACAGAACTGGCCAACTCGGTTTGAACAACTTCTCTGAAAACCTGACAATGGCTGTTGCTGCAGAGGTGCACTATGTAATGAGAAAAACCACCAAGTGCCTCTATAGCAACGTAAGAGGACTAAGGGGTAAGCTGTTTGAAATCAGGAATATGTGCTTTCAGGCGGATCTGAGGACCATATTCCTAACTTAAACATGGCTATCCCCTGCCATGCCAGACGATGAGGTGAGCTTGCAAGGCATGCCACTCTTCCGAAGTGACAGGGTATAACAAACAGGAGGAGGAGTGGCTACATAAATAAACAGCCTATTAAAAGCCGAGCGGCTATACGACACCCAATTAAATGAGGTGACAGAATCATGTTGGTGCTGTTTCAACACAAATGGTCCGAAATACTTGATTAGAGGGATTTACCGACCTCCCTCAGGTAATGAAGCCCAGAAAGACAAACTGACTGAGGCAATACTGCAACTGCCACTCCTTGAATTTGATCAAATACTCTTAGCTGAAGATTTCAATAACCCATCTCTAAATTTCAGCAATCAGGGTACAACTCCCACCTGTTGGTTCCAAAGACGACTTGGCTCAGCCATTGGAAGCTCTGGGCTTACTGAGCACCTATGCAGTGCCACTAGATGGACTAAGGAGTGAAGTTCCTATAATCTGGATTATTTCTTAACAAATGATCAGCTCCTGGTGGACGATGTCCACGTTCATACACCAATAGGAAGTAGTGACCATGGTACAGTTTTGTTTAACATAGTCGTAAACGAAACACTCACACAAGACGAAAACGAGTCCTATCTTTGCTACACTAGGGCAAATTATGCACGTATGAGAGAGATCCTCCTACACTCCCTATGGCTAGAGGAGTGGCGGAGGCTGACAGTAGATGATCACTGGCAAATAGTGAGAGACATTATCCAAAAGGCTCTCTTAGACAATGAACCTCACTTACGCCACACACCCGGTAATAGAGTAACATGGCTTAGGCTCTGCTATGAACGCTTACTACAAGCTAAGAGGAAAGCCTGGCACAAGTGGAAGGTCTCCTTGAAGGATTTTGATCGTAGTTTAGTTCCTAATGTTTGTCAACGACCTGTTCGGCTCAGTTAGCTCACCGGCAATAATCTACGCAGACGATGAGAAGATCTTGGTCTATAAGGATTTGACTGAGCTTCAAAAGCACCTTATATCCATTGAGGAATGAGCAGTGAAAACGGTTTAAAACTTGTAGTGGAACGCTTCTACGAAGAAAATATGATTTATGAAAAATAAACATTATTGTACTCGTTTTGTTTAACTGTACCAGAAACACTTCTACCACTTCTTGCGCGCAACGTTCTCTTCGCGTTGCTGCCATTTTTCTCTATTTGCTGTTCCCCATGTAATGACTACTGTCTCCTTCAATAAAACGTTGGAATATGGATTGACTTTGCTTTTAATCATGACGGGATATTATGGAACATTTAGTGGTGAGCATAGTCAATCAGGTATCTTGACTCGCTCACAACAAACTCAACAAACTGAAGTGCCACGTCATGTACATTCTGCCTCACATGACGCAAACGATTTGTACCCTCAATGGAAGTCCGCTCCCTAATGTCTCCTCAGAGCGCGGTCTCGCTTTAATAACCACAGAAATCCTCCACACGAGTCCGAACTATGTGGGGGGCGCAGCCATGGCAATTGAGACTCTTCACTTTATGCGAAGACAACTTGGTGCTGTCACCCCACAATTATTCTTGACATTATTGAAGACACACGCGCGTAAAAAGATATTGGATAATGAACTCGGAACTGTAAAGTTTTATTTCCCACACCTAGAGGTTCAGAACGTGATCTCACCCCCTTTACTTAAAAGAGACATAAATGGGTGATAGGGTTGAAGAATAAGCCTTAAGATGGTAGACTACAGCACTTAGGATTATTTCCACTGAGTTATAGAAGAATCAGAGGTGATCTGATTATGGCGTACACCATATTAAACACGCCAAACCATCCCAGTGTGAGCATCTTACCGATGCATCACCACCACTCCCCTCGAGGCAATCCTCGAAAGATTGCACATCAAAGAGCAAATACTCAGATTCGTGCACGCTTTTTCTTACTGGGAGCCGTCGAAACTTGGAATGCTCTCCCAGCCGAGATGACCACAGCACCCTCAGTAGACAGCTTTAAGAAGAGACTTGTTAATCACGTACTCACATACGGATTATCATCTCCATCTTGGACAAGCTGTTCATGATGCATATATTGAGACCTGCTGGTTGTTATCATTGACATCTTCTCAGATCACTTACTTGATCTATCTCGCCTCTCATCTCTTTTCTCCCCCCTTTGCTTACTCTAGGGTCCCCTCTCACAATCTTCACTACCAATTAATTAACTAAATCGTCTATATATTACTTAGTTCTGAAATTTTATTCATATTAGCATTAGAATTTTATCACTATTATTCTCCAGATTGCAACTAACTGATCTCCGGTCTGGTGATGTGATAGCAGCTGGTATCCAGAAACCCTACTGCCCTGAAACGAACGTTATCATTAAAAACCCGAGGCATACAAACTCACAACCAACTGGCAACCGACTAGAATTCGACAGTCAGGGGCTAGATCCCCATTGATTGGACACTATCGATCACCTGGAACCGTATCGAAAGAATAAGAATCGAGCACAAAGAAATTAATTGGTTTATGCTAGCTCGTGAAGAAGATATTGGATATTGGATTCCAAGGTTAAGCGATCGTTTATTGGTGGTCTGTTTGTTCTCCCAGTTCTAACTATCAGTTTGTTCATTGGAGGCCAAGCACCGTTAATCTCGGATGTTGCAAGCGATTTATCCATATGAAGGTCCTTTCCCCGGAACCTTGAAGTTTTCTCAAGACGAAATATTTTTAGATATCCGGGAGGAAAACCAGTATTGGCGTCTAGTTTCCAAAACTGATGGAACTTTAGGATGTGTCCCAACTAATTTTGTTAGGAAATTTGAGGTAATTGCTTATATAACATCCAAACTAAATTGTAAGACTGAAGATCAAAACTTCGTTCAGCAATACGCTATAAAGGCATTAGAAAATCTAACATCTTGTTCGTCTAAGGAACTTCACGGAAAGGAAGACTTATTAAAGTACTTAAAAGCTCATAAATTACCATTTCAGACGCTTGCTTCAAATTGCGAAGGAAAAACCAAGCGAAGGTAAAATACCTTGTGAAGAATTTTCCGAGTTAAAATTGAGTTCTCCTGAAAAGGAAGTATCAGTAACTGGAACAGGTTGGTTGTGTATTTTTATACTATTTAGTTGTATAATTATCCTTCACATTTTAAACTGTCTGAAATCATGTGTAGTCGATTAGCGCGTTTCATTACATACACTGACCAGTGTTAAATGGTTATAGACGAAACAGAAAGCCTGCTACATTATCGCTCTATATTCTCACCATTCAATAAATATTCGTGAAACAATTGTCATTTGAACGGAACTGTGTGTAAAGCAATTAGATTTCTAACAATAATATTGTCGTGTCCCTATATTTCTAGTATGAACACTGTCGTGCGATATCTCTGAAAGTGAAGTTTCTTCCTTCGCACATTCAATGTTTGATTAGTATCCTTAAGCTAATAATATCAAGTAAAATATTAAAAACTTTAAGTCTTTACTGTCCATTTTTAGTTAATTTAGTAATTGACGCACGTTTTATCCGTATCTTATATCGAATAAGAAACGCAGATGATATTAGTTTCAGATGGACAATTTATAGCATTGTTTTCTCTTCATAGTTGTTGTTTGTTTACGAAGCTCAGATTCGTACACTAGATGCATATTTTTACCAAATGAGTTTGAAGTCCCAGTCAGTAGTAACGTAGAACCTGATACAAACATGTATTGAACAGGTTGCCGCCGTATTTTCACAGTTAATTGATATAATAAAGTGAAAAGAATAGTACTGTTCTTTATAGTAAGAAAAGAACTTGACAAAAAAGTACTGTTAAAAATGATAAGATGAAATAAGGGAACAAGCGTCAAAAATACTGTAAAGACTCAAAATCTGAGAGGAAGATGACGAATAAATTATGCTCCACTGCGATTCAGAACCTCGTCACTTAAGGACTTCATGAATTGTTGTTATTGTTGGAACTCCAAGGTGTTCTGTGTCTTCGGACACAACAAACTAACGGTGACTGCTTGAAATAACATCAAATATTTGTTTACCTCACCGCTTCTAAACTGCTGCGTTTCTAGATAGCATTTTCCTTTAACGCTGATGTCAGTTGAACAAACGCTACGGAACCTAGCTGTATTAGTTGAAAATCCACAAGCTCATCGATTCGTTTGTCGATATATACATAGCACTCTACCTTTATTCATAACATAAATTCTGGTACAACAAGGCGTCAGACAATGAACTATAATTAGTTATGATAGAGAGTTCATACGTTATGTAAATTATAAAGAATAGTACTTAATTGGAGCCTCAATTCAGCCGAAAATATATTCAAAAAGATTTCTTTCAGTTAAGTGAGTTCATCTCATTGTCATAGAGAATGTAATTGAAAATCACAACAATAGTTATTAACTTCGATTGTAAGCTATACTTGGTCGCTTTCTCAAGTCACGATGATTCATTACCTTAGTTAAAGGGTCGTGACTAACCAACTTACATTCTACACAGTTATCTTTTGTGCTTCGGTACCATATCATTTACGTTGGTGTTTGAAGATTTTGACACCAGTTAAATTATCGTCGCTATACCTAAATCATCAACATAAACTATCTTGACGTTTTTAGTTGACTCCGATCTTTCAAGGATAACGGTAATCAAACATAAAGTCATAATACAAAAGCTTGTGGTGGAATTTTTATCACTGATATGCTCAAATATATGCGCACAGTACTCTAAAAACACATAATCAAGTACTAGCAATCTACGGAGGTTGTCCACTTCCAAATACCATATTTTGGAACTACAAATTAAACTAAGGTTCGCTACTGCTCAGTGTGCTTATCTGTTTAATAAAGAGATAGCTATTTAATGATACTTCCAAAATAAAAAATGTTGGTCAACATACTGCATCGTCACTTCCCATAAACAGACTTGTCAACGATACAGGCCAGTCTTAGAACAACAGTTAGCAGTTGTGGGAAATTGACATTCATCCTAAACACCCTAGTATTATTCATTTCATCTTTACATTTTGTGTCTGGTTTTCAATTGTAAAGTCTTTCCTCTCCAATGATGATAAATATTCCATTTATAACCTTCAATCTAGTTGGATTAACACCTGAAAAACTTCCCAAACAAAGCACTAGTTTACCGAAGAATTTTGAGTCCTGTTTAGTGGATACAATCAGACTTGGTACAAATTGCTCGTATGCAGATTGTCGATCTGTCTATTGTGCGATTATTGATTTGCTGTCCACAATTCCGGAGCTAAAACAAAATTTTATGGACTATAATTCAGTAAGAAACGAACATTTTATTCAATTAATGCCAATTAAATTGACGCCATTATTAAATATTTGTTTTCTATTCGTGTAAACTTTGGTTATGTGTAGTGATTATTGATATATCCGGCTAAATAAATCAAACTCTTTGTGTAAATATCTGAATATCGCCATTAGTGAGGTGGTTGCAGTACTCTAGTGATAACTAGCAGTAGAATGCACTTCAGTGTACATTTTACTATTGCCGACAATGAATTCTCAATTTTGATTCGCTGATTGTGTTTTTGAAAAGACAACTGGCGATCTTCCCGACTGTCTCATGTTTGTTATCCAGTACTTCAGATTAGATACATACTTCAAAATATTCATATTAAAAAGATGGAAAAGTATCTGCTTATGATCTCAAATTAGGGATTCACGAAACCGTTTATTCCCGATAGTTCATTTCTTAAAGAAACAGCAACAAAAGGTACTTAATCTCCATATTATGTTTAATGGGTGGCATTCAATTGTGCATTATTTTTGCCCATCTACTTATCTACTTCTGCTTTACATAACGTTTTACTTGCATTCTAGTATTCCTTCGTAGCGGTTAAAACTTCTCATTAAATGGTTTCATTCCTTTTCTAAATTACCAACCATTAACTTTTGTTCTACTAACTTAAGTGCTCAACAAATCATCAATCTATAATTACCATAATTTACAGATCATGTCTGACTAGTGAATGTATTCTAGGAACATCTGCCGAACATTTCTGGATCCAGTTTATTGACCCGAAGATTCAATTGTTTCATCGGTGACAAGCATTTTTGCCTTTTTCATCAAAGTCTAGTAAATAAATACTAATGAGGGTTGAAAAGTAGACTATCATAATCCTTGATCCGTCATTTGGTGAACAAAGCCATTTCAAATATCACACAAGCAGACTCAGCAAATTTGTGTTTCCTTACTACCTAAATGTTGCAAGTGTTTAACCAAAGTCTCTTAGCGGTAAAAACAGGATTATCTTAATCTTGATTATTCACAGATTAGTAAAATAATTTGTTTAAAAAAATACAAATTTCCATCAAAAAGTAGAGTATAAACATTGCTATACTTGTTTCTACTGATTCTTTAGCCCCACAAGTCTCAAGGTCCACTTTTGAAAACGATTAGTTTATTAAACCACCTGACTAGGTTTATAAGTCTTTTTTTCTGTTATCATGAAAAGTAAAAACAAATCTTAATCAGTTACAAAATTGCTCATGTTTAACCATTTTGTTTCAGGCATCAGATACGGTTAAGGCCGAACCGGATTACTTACGAAGTCCTGATTGGTATCTCCTTAAAATTAAACTTCGATATTTTGAATCCAGACAGAATAATGATCAAGAATGCAATTGGGGGTTACACGAAGATAGATGTGATATTGTTGAACGACTAGATGAACTAAATACTTTACTGGTAATTCATATTGTTTCTATCATATTTTTTTAACAACGGGTTCTTATTCTTCCATTCTTGATAAAAACTATTATCCCAAGCACTGTTTTCAATTTTCTGTGAAATGACGATGGTTATCCTAGTGCTTTGGATCACTATAACAAATAATTTTACGATAAGTAGTGTATTTATAACACCCTTTTAACCGGGTTGATCTGTATTAGATTGCAAGACGGTTTGCTATTATATCTAAGCTGTTACGTGGTAAAATATCCTGGGATCTTTCATGTAATACGACTAAATAATGCAAATCATGGTACTCTAAAGGGTCAACCAATCAACGCACGTACGTACGTCAGTTCAAGTTGCCATTACCACATTAGCACAAAGATGTAATTGTCAATTCAAATCCCTTAGTAGTAGAAGTGGTTAACGTTAGGTAGGTAGGTTAGGTTAGGTTTATTCTAAACAATCATAAGTTGATTAACTGCATTTAGCATTTAGTTACGAATTCTCATCTGAAGATATGAACAAGTTTGTGAGAAAATTAGCTCACCTTTGACTACTTACTGACTGACTTCAGGCTTATGTGAGTGGTTTTAATCCAGTCTTCAAGAGTAAGGATTCATTGCAGCATCCAGTTGTCGAATTAATGAGACCAAGACTCTAAATTACCATTAAAAAGCTTTCCAAGCTTTTCATTTGTAAGAGTGAAACAATTTTGGTAGCCCTTACCTAGTAAACATTACTGTACATCGGTTAAACAGTATTTAATCATCTTAATGACTAGTTGTGGTAATTTTCTTTTCAGAAAATGACATCTTTATTCATCTTTACAAAAAAATATTCCCGTTGTTTTGACCCGCTAATCAGTTAAACTTTCTTTGAATGTAATATAATTAGTTAGCTCACTTTTATTACAAGGTGCTCTTTTTTGAAAATCATCAAATTTAGTTTTCGTGTTTTATCATATTTCAGGAAAAAGCTGATCCAAAGTTAGTCTCTTGTTACATATCTTCGGTAAAGTTCCAACCATTGCTCTCTCTTATTGGTTTATATCAACGCGAAACCAATAATGAAATAAGGTCTAAGCTCCTTAGATCTATCGGTATTTTCTGTTCGCTCGATTCAGCTTGTATTAAAATTTGTCTTCAATCAGTCTTACCAAACGAGCTCGTTCGAGAGCTACGAGCATCTTCACATCGTGGTAATTTACTCTCTATTTATTTTATGCTTTCTGCTTGTTTTTTGTATCTGTGATTAAACAAAAACAATTGTCCAATACAAAAAGTTTAGGCTGAAAATAAGGTCATAAGAAGTTGTGGTGAGCGGTGCCTCTTTAGTTTCGTGGCGATCGGTATTCGATCTGTTCTTAGACTTCGTAGGCTGCTCGTCCAGACAACCTTTACTAAATAGCGCCTCAGCGTTTATGAATCAAAAGGCGAATACGAAATGTTTAATACATTTATTTTGGTGCACCACAAATAGACCACCAAACCACAGGTACTCGAAGCAAAAATCAATAAGCGAGTGCCGAAGAGCAAGCAAGTGAATTAGTGAAGCAGATTAAAATGTGCATATATATGAATAGAAAAATGTCTGAGTCATTGTAATGTTTAAAAGGTAAACACATTAATGTGAATAAGATAAATATGCGCGTAGGCGGTAGGCAATGTTCAGTCGTATCAGCTCATACAAACCAGACGATAATAAAAGCCAATGGTACACATAAGTTGTTTCTATACAAGTGGCTTCGTTAAATAAGTTAATCAAGTGGCTTAACCAAATCAGTTATGATCGAACTCAAATGTATGTAGAGGTAGGTACTACAAAGTTATGTTTGCAAAGATGGCGCTTAAAATTAAGTAGTTCCGTTTTGCCTCCGCTGTCTAATTCTGGTTCCTCTGGGGAAATAGTCAAAAATTAAATCTTGAAAGACATTAAAAATACGCAATTTGGCAAAGGAGTCTTTTCAACAAATCTACAGAATTGGTGTCATTTAAAGATAGAGCTCAAATAGAAAATATGAAGGGTGAGACAGTAATTAAATGAAGTCTGGAAACAGATAATATAGTTCGTTTGATAATTTAGTCCTCATTTCATGGATAACAAGAACGTAAGGAGTTGAATCCTCAGAAATCTTAATAGTTTGAAGAGGGTTTCTATAAAAAATATCCTATGAATTAATATATTGATTAACTGAGTAGTGAGAATCGATTAAATATTCAAGGATAGTACTCCTAGCCGCCTTCCTTTCACCCTTGTAGAACCGTACAAGTATGCGTTTTCGTATACTTGCAAATGTAAGTTATATTTTATGTACCCTGCTCCACAGAAGCATGTGAATCGGTAGATGTTTATGTAATTGACCAAAATCGACAGTTTATCCTTTTTACAATTTTTACTTGCGGATATTAATCGTAATTTTGCTACATAATACGTTCTTTTAATTTTTAAAATCACTGGATTCTCAAATACCCTCAGAAGTTTGGTCACCTTTTAATTTCATATTCGTGTAAAGTTATATGTTTGATGTGGAGTTCAATGATATTTAATCCCGGACACTCAAGTTTTCATATTCCATTCGAAATGTTTTCTATATGCTAGATCCTCAACTTTTGTGAAACTTCTTTTGCATATTTGAAAAAGGCGTATGAATATGTTCCGTTCGTTGAATTGATTAGCTTCTTTTAATAATGTATATTATTGAAGATAGTTTGCAATTCACAAACTGTTTACGCCGAAGCTTCGCTGCTAACCACCTAATTTTATTACTCCTTAAATGTTTTAAGTACCCTGGATAGTTTTTATAACTCTTGAAAATTGTTCATCTTAATTTTTGTGAATGTTAACTTTTTCAGGGGTTTAAATTTTCAGTTACCTCAATTATTATTATATGCTTTAACCATTAAAGTTTACAGAGTCTTCTACGTTATTTGTGGATAAGCTTGCCAAAATGATAGATTACTCTCACCACTGATTTATTCTTATAAATAACTTTTCAGTGACTTTTCTCTCGCCTAGAAACCTATCCATACCTCTGTACTATCAACAGTACAATTTCACCGTAACATCACGAGACAACTTTCAAAAGTAAAGACACACATAGGTTGCTAATGTTTCGCAAAAAAATGTAGTCCTGCATAAATTTATGCATTGCATTCTACTAATTTTTAAATATGGATGTTTTTATTGTCAGTACATGATGCGATTGTCCAGTAAGCACTGATGAATGAAACTAATTCTCTTCTCTTCTTCCCTGCTCATTAACTAGAAAAGGAAGTCCAAACTGTTCCAGAAATTTTCTTCATAGAAACTCAAGAAGAATTGTCTAGATTGAAGTTACTTCAGTCATACACCTATTAAATCTAATGATTATTCGTTTGACAGTTATATCGAATTGAACAATCGTCACATGAGTGCAAAATCACGATAAATTAAACCAATGCAATGTAAAGTCCATTGAACATCAAATTAACTATATACTAAAAGACAGTAAGGCGAAAATGCAATAAAAGTTAACTGAATGAAAACCATCTTAAATTGTAAGATGATTTTTTGTAAATGGGTATTTTATACCTTCGTATGTACTGAACAAGATTACTAGTCGATAGTCACAGCTCTACCTACTTCGGTTTGACAGTCGGTTAGTATCACTAACTCTCAAATACAGTATAGTTCAAACCCAAGTAGATAAATTTATACTTGACCAGTTAGTTATATCATCATACTTTTATGTAGCTGATGTTGACTGTCCTTTTCGACCGAAACTCACTATTTCGATTTGCACTTCCAATTACTATTGCTATTCTTTAGAGATGATCTTATTTGTAGCTTAACAACCATCTTTACCATCATGGTTAATAAGTCAAAAGTTCCTTTTCACAGAATCTAATAGTCTCTCTGAATTCATGTACTCCAAGCACTTGCATAGTGAAACTCATTACCGTTAATTTTGTGTTCTTGAGATTAACAGTATCAAATAACATTGTGTTTTATGTCGGGTAGAAACTGGCGAAACTTCACATGAATGTATTGTAGAGTAAGTTAAGTGCCAACAATGATTGTTGAAATGTAGTCTTTAAGAAGAACGTAGATAGTGCACGGGAAAAACGCTTTCCTAACAATATTATTATTATTATTATTTCATAAAGCTTACATTTCTAAGTCTTACCCTTATGACTACCAAAAGCTGATTGCAAAACAATCAACAGGTTCATTTTTGGCGAACATTTTCGATTCTAGTCATGTATCATCACCAGATGTTTCTTTCAAAAATATTTTTCCAAACCAGACAGACCGATACAAATGGAATACTAATAAAAAACATATGCCTAACATCGTGTGCTTTTACGGGTATGAGGGCGGTTGTCACTACCCGGCTGCCCACCTCGTCAAAGGGCTCTGGTTGTCAGAAGTGGCATCGGCTTCGTGACTTCCGGAGGAACTCGGCTTCCACCATGAGACGTTATAATTATTCTAAGTGAAGACTTAACTCTCAGAGCAGAGTTCAGATGGTTTGATTTACTTTTTCTTGTTAGCGTTTTTGTGGCGAGTTAGTTTTCTATGGGATGTGGTCGCCAATTGCAATCTCAACCCTCCTCCTTTATCCGGGTTCGGGACCGGCAGTAGCTCCGGAGGGGCTCAAGGCGAAGTGATGGGGAGTGAAACAGTTGAGCGTGTCGACCGTCCCACTTATCTTGGGAGTCTCACCAGTTCTGATGGAGTTGTATGTTACGAAATCTCAGCATGGATACAGAAGGCTCGATTGGCTTTTGTCAACTTGCATCACCTATGGCGTAGGCGAGATATCCTTTTGTTAACCAAAGAACCAATGTAATGCGCCGCAGTACGTTCCGTCCTACTTTATGGCTGCGAAACATGACCAGTCAGAGTAGAAGATATTCGTAAATTACTGGTTTTCGATCATAGGTGTCTCCGAAGCATTGCTCGAATACCATGGGACAACCGAGTAAGCAATGCTGTCGTTAGGAAACGGGTTATAAGTGAAGATGGCAGATCAATAGATGAAGTATGGAAACTATCAGTTGAGGTGACTTGGACATGTGTTACGTACTGGATCATTAATCTTTTTGATTACTGCTAATAGTTCTACTACCTCTAATGCTATGGTATTTGAATTAACAATTGGGTCTGTGCGCTAATGTGGTATAACAATTCGAACTGATGTACGTACATACGAAGTTCTACGTTGTAACTAACTGAATGACTACGCCTAATATCGAATTTAGTATCATGATGCATTCCATTCTTTACGTTACCATAATCTTTATCTCCTAATTTTTTAGTTATTATGACTACCTGTCTATTCTTTCTTCATTGTCTATATATTTGTCAAGTAGACATTTAAATTTCACATTTCCCTGTTAACTCTCTTATTTATTATTCGCCGGGATACCACGCAACGTTTGTCTAATTATTAAAAAAATATTCAATCACATTAAGAATTTAATATGTCTGTGGTATTTTTGGTAGATTAATTGGTAGTAAATATGATTTGATAGGTGATATCGTTAGGATGAACGTTTTCTTTTTGAATTTTACCAAGGTTTTGTGTTTCAGTTAAATAAACATTTAATGACCAATTTCTTATATGCTTTTAGCCAGCTTTTTTCTTTGTTTAAATCTAACATTTTTATATTTATATTTTGCAATTTAGAAATTCCAAAAATTGCTTTGCGATTACGATTTCTATCCATATTGATAAGTCAATCTCAAAGTCTTCCTGTTGACTTGCATGGTAAGTCAAATTTTTTTACTTTGATTTGATGTTACGCGGTTAAGTATGTTTGTCCATAAACTACGTACGCTTGAAATATATTTTTTTCGTATAATGGAGACTGGTTAATATGTGTTTTGGACTCAACGGACAAGGCTGGCTGGGAAGCTACCATTCAGAGAATCAATAGGAACTTAGCAGTGATTAAAGATTACTAGTGCTGGCTAGTGTTGTAATTAGTTATCTTGTGGAGGTCACATAAGTCGGTGATATTCGTGAGAAGTTAATAAGTCATAAAGGTTTTACTGAAGCTCACTCATTCTCAATTACTGCACATATTATAGCAAAGGTATAATAGCATTCAATTTACACATGAGAACAAACTAGAATTCATAAAATATTCATTGTTATTTATATGTCACAAAGCGCACTGATTACAGGAAGTATGCATTTTTTTTTCTTCAATATTGATTTCTGTTTAGGATCACTTGATCAAAAACTATTTAGTCACCTGATTGAATTATGCGATACTACAAAACAACAGTCAAACTCAGTTGATCTAGAAAATCATGCTGCTACTGATATAATCCTAATCGCAAATGGATTAGATCCATTTGAACAAATAAACGGTGAAGATTACTTGTTCCCTTATTCAGTGGCGTTATTTTTATTAGCATGCAATTGGCACTTTCATTCAGTTTATAAGCTAAGTTCTTCGGAAAGTTCACCGAATGCACCAGACAACAAAACACCATTATTAAAAGCATTATTAGCTAAACCCGTCTCATCACGTTCATTCCTTGAAATAATTATTCAAACATTTAATCGTCAATGTAAGTTGTAACTGTGATCGTTAATTCATTGTTTTAAAATTATTTATGATGTTTTTTGTTTTGTAATTAGCTCTCTTTTGAATAGGTATATGAAAAACAATAAACCAGATGTTTTCATATTTGTACACGTATATATAACTAGTGATCATCAAAAGGCCGTGCGTGACCGGCCTCAAGCAGTTGTCCCTTGGGCTATGCGGTCGCGCACTCAGGTCTCTAAGACCAACACTAATCTACATTCCTTTTCAGGTCCCTCAAGAAACAACCTTCCACGGTGTGGGCAGCCGGGAAGTGACCACCCCCCTCATACCCGTAACAGCGCGAGAGACCAAATCGGTCAAAATCAAATCCTTCTTACACCCCCTAATATCTCTCTTATCTCTACGACTAACTCTAGTCGCATTCCTTCAGCTCACTGAACCGCTAATGCGAACGATGTGAGTTCACGAAACGTCGTTCCTGGTTTCCTTAAACCCCGTTCTAAACTACATGTTGGAGCATTTAATGTACGGACATTATGTCAAATAGGGCAACAGGCATCATTGGCTAGGACTTTAGAATCTCGCTCAGTCGATGTGTGCTTTTTATGTTTTCTGCTTGATGTAACGCCAAACCACTGTATTAATGACCCCCGAACGTTAGACTCCCACCGTTCAAAAATAAGAAGACGGAAGACGTTGGAGAACACTTATTAACAGAATCAAAAATATACAATCAAACATGCGTATTTATACAATTATACATATAATCGATATTGTCGTTTAAATATTTGAATATTAAATCCAATAGTTCATCGATCGACTGCCCTTGAAATATTTAAGCATTGTGGTGGACCAATCAATGTATAATTTCAAAATATCAACAAAGTTATTGAATACAAATAGATGTATATTGAAATATATCGAATAAATGTAATAAATACAATAAAAATATAAGAACGTTACTTTATACTGCTGCTTGTGCGTGTTCGGTTGTTATTGGTACCATAAATCCACAATTATAGATATGTTAGTAATACAATTAATGTATATATCCGTAAGGTAGTTTATACGTATGACTGTAGTCTATAAATGTAGACAATATACGTATTAGAATCCAATTAGCGTATTAATGAACGAATGAGAACATAAGTTGTGTGTCTAAAGTGTATTTGATAGGCTCAGGCATTGAGTGCCGTGCTACGTGTACAACGTTACTTGTATCCAAGGTAACACACTTAAACAACATGTACAATCATTTTATAGTAAATGTACAAGCAGTCGAAAATTAACAGAATAAATACAAAATAAGTTCGTCATACCAACTCCACAGCATTTAATTGATAAGTCCATCAATCCACAATGTGCGTGGCTTTCTTCTCGATTGGCTATCCCAACAGTGCTGCGTCTCGGAAACGCGCATACAGGATCCTAGCAAAACCTTATCGAAATAAAGAAGCAGCCCGATTTACTCTTCGTGTATCCGGTAGCCCTGATGCTGCTTCCAGGGGTCTCGCTGGTGTAGGTATAGCATTGAGTCGTAGGGCAGAACAATCTCTCCTTAACTGAATTCCTGTAAATAGTCGCTTGTGCGCCGCCCGACTAAACGGGACAGTCAGGACTCGGAAGGATAGGGACACTCGCCGTTGCCTCTTCGTCGTATCTGCCTACGCCCCCACTGACTGCAGTTCAGACGAGGTGAAAGATGAATTTTACAGAAATCTTTCGGACCTCCTCCAGGAAGCTAGGCGCTCCGATAATAATGGCTGGTGACTTTAATGCTCAATTAGGTAGACTAAGTGACCAGGAGAGACACCTAGGTGCATGTTATGGTGTCGCGGCTCAGAGAATAGACAATGGCGACCGTCTGTTGCAAGTAAGCTCAGATAACCAACTATTTCTAGCAAACACTAATTTTAAGCATAAGGAAAAACATATTTTGACCTGGCGAACCCCCGAGGCCGTCTCAACGTTGAACCCAACTACATCACATTGCCATCAGCCACCGATGGAGGGGTTCGATAGAAGACTGTCGCTCGTTCTGGGGCACATGTTTAGATTCAGATCATGCCTTAGTGCGAGCGCGTATTTGTTTGAGGCTTACTGAACGTAGGAAAGACTGCGTAAGAAAGCCTCTTAGGGTTCTACTTAATGATAATAAAGCTAAGAATATATTCCAGAAACAACTAGAAAGAGAGTTAGGCAACCATGTAAGTGATTCCCATCCGTAAGCATATTGGAATGATATCAAAAAGGCTGTGGAAACATCAGTGATATCTGCTAGTAAGGTAAACCATAAGGCTAGAATGAAGCCGTAGATCTCAGTAGCATCCACCGAACTGATAGAGGTTCGAAAACGCATCCCACCTGACTCTGAACATGATGAAGAGCGAAGTAAGCTTAAGCGCAGGTTGATAAAAAGCCTACGTAACGACCGTGAACAGTGGTGGGTGGCGAAAGCGAGAGAGAGATGGAAAAGGCAGCGGCGATAGGCAACACTAGACAACTTTTCCGACTTATCAAGGAAACTGGTATTAGGAACCGAAATGTTAGTGAGACTGTTTCGGAAAAGGATGGTTTTATTATCCATTCTCAATCCAGGAGACTGGATCGATGGGCAGAACACTTTAGGGATCAGTTCAACTGGCCTCGAGCCACTCTTCAGTTACCCAAGATCTCCAGTCATTCTGAATGGCAAATCGTCGTAAGTCCCCCTAGTGTTAATAAAGTTGAGAAAGCGTTAGGAAATCTGAAGCAAGGGAGAGCTGCTGGTCCTGATAGACTGACCCCTGAGATATTTAAGGATGGTGGTCCAGTTTTAGCAGCTAGGTTGACTGAGATCTTAGGTAGAATCTGGGAACTGGACGTAATCCCATCCGACTGGTCTCAATCACTGATTGTCTCAATCTATAAGAAAGGAAAAAAAGTCCTCTTGTGACAATCACAGGGGAATAAGTCTAACTAATATAGTATCTAAAATATTAGCCTCAATAATACTTCGACGCTTAACGAAAGCTCGTGAAGAGCAGACTCGAGAAAACCAGGCTGGTTTTCGACCTGGACGTGGTTGTATAGACCACGTCTTCGCACTACGACAGGTCCTGGAACACAGACACACATTTAGGCGTCCTACAATAGTTGTTTTCCTGGACCTTAAGGCGGCATTTGACTCTGTGGATCGTGAGGTTCTGTGGCAGTGTCTGTCATTGAAAGGTGTACCAAATAAGTACATTAACCTCATACAAGCTCTCTACTCAAACACCACTGGTCGAGTGAGGGCTTATGGCGAACTGTCACCGGAATTCTCTACTTCAAGTGGTGTCCGTCAGGGATGTCCACTTTCTCCATTCTTGTTTAATTTTATCATAGACATGCTCCTAGAAATAACCTTATCCTCGTCTGAATTTTCTGGAGTAGACCTTTTACCAGGTGGCTCGCTTATTGACTTGGCGAAGACGCTGACAAATTGCAGAGTCTTCTGACTACCCTAAGCAACAATGCAAGCATGTTCGGGATGCGGTTTTCCCCCTCGAAATGCAAAATGTTGCTTCAAGATTGGGTTGCATCGGCACCTGAACTAGTGATAGGGAGTGAAGTGGTCGAACGTGTAGACCGCTTCACTTATCTTGGGAGTCTCATCAGTGCCGATGGCCTGGTGACTGACGAAATCTCGGCACGGATACAGAAGGCTCGATTGGCTTTTGCCAACCTGCGTCACTTATGGCGCAGGCGAGATATCCGTTTGCTGACTAAAGGACGAGTGTACTGCGCAGTAGTTCGTTCCGTCTTACTTTATGGCTGTGAAATATGGCGAGTGAGAGTAGGAGATACAAGTGGACTTAGCCATGTCGGTAATTGTCGACTACCTGGTTGGGGTCCGCGAGATGATAATAATCGATGGCTAGAGACCTTGAATGACATGGCTCAAAACCGTTCGCAATGGCGCCGGTGCATTTATTCTTTGTGTTCTCTCAAATCCTAATCTTCTGGATTCTTCAACACCTCAAGTTTTTACTTTCTAAACTTATCTCATTGAATCATACTTCGTGAATAATATCTTCTAATTCTAACCTCTCCGATTACTTCTAATACCTTTACTACCTCTTCTACTATTGGATTTGAATTGACAATTATATCTCTGTGCTGATGTGGTATGGCGACATGAACTGATGTACTTACGTACGAAGTTCTACGTTGCAACTGACTGACTGACTGACCACCCTAAGCAACAATGCAAGCATGTTCGGAATGCGGTTTTCCCCCTCGAAATGCAAAATGTTGCTTCAAGATTGGGTTGCATCGGCACCTGAACTAGTGATAGGGAGTGAAGTAGTCGAGCGTGTAGACCGCTTCACTAATCTGGGGAGTCTCATCAGTGCTGATGTCCTAGTGACTGATCAAATGTCAGCACGTATACGGAGGTCTAGATTGGCTTTTGCCAACTTGCGTCACCTATGGAGCAGGAAAGATGTCCGCTATCTAACCAAAGGACGAGTGTACCATGCAGCAGTTTGGTCCGTCCTACTATACGGATGCAAAACATTGCCGTTAAGAATAGAGGACATTCGTAGGTTACTAGTCTTCGGTTATAGGTGTATACGAAGCATTGCTCGTGTATCCTGGGACGACCGAGTAAGCAATGCTGTCGTTAGGAAACGATTTCTAGGTAGGGATGGCAGATCAATAGATGAAGCATTGAAACCGCATCAGTCGAGGTGGTTGGGACATGTGTTACGTATGGCTAACCACCGACTGCCGCGACGAGCTATGCTTTGTGGTGTAGGAGTAGGTTGGAAGAAAGGTAGGGGCCGCCAAACCAAAACATGGCAGAAATCCATGGAATCGCTAACAAGTGGACTGATTCATGTTTGTAGGTTTCGACTACCCGCGAGATGATAGTAACTGATGGTTAGAGACTTTGAACGACATGGCTCAAAATTGTTTACAAGGCACAGGCGCATTCATTCATTGTGTTTTCTGAAATTCTAACCTTCTGAATTGCCCATAATCTCTATCTTTCTCCTTCTAAGTCTATCTCACTGAATTATACTTCTCGAATCATATCTTCGCTCCCTAATCTTCTCCATTACTGCTAATAATTCTACTATCGCTATCACTGTTGGATTTGAAGTGACAGTTACGTCTTTGTGCTGACGTGGTATGGCAACCTGAACTGATGTACTTATGTACGAAGTTCTGCGTTGTATTTGTCTGTCTATATAACTAGTGAATGACAAAATGATGTTAATTTGAACGACTAATTGTTATCTCAATGTTTAGAAGTTTTAATCAATCCAAAAGTTCACTACTTTACTGTTGAACATAGTTTGATTGTTGCAACAAACTGATCGATTTATAAAACTGTAAAGTTTAATTTATAAAAATATTCATTGATATTTTTGAACATAAAAATTTGGCGACAATTGGGCACCAAGTTTACAAACAATCATTTTAGATCGCTGAGATTATTTTCAAATGCAATTATCACAAATGTTATTAATTATTCAATCTTCGTGAATACAAACAACATGTTGATTAAACTGAATTTTTTAAGATATTGAACAACTAATGTAAAGATATGCAGAGAGATATGTGTATGATAAATCGTAATTATAAAGTTATAACTTATTGGATTGAACCAATTCATTTAATTAATGTATACAATTTAGTCTAATTCAATTGGTCAATATTTAAGGTCGTCCTAAACCATCAAGTTCACATAATTTTAAATGTTCTTTCCTATTGGTTAGTATTCACGGTCGACCTAACTGTAGAAATAAATATACAATGTCTATAAAGTTTGATGCTCTTCTTCTTCTTCTTCTTCTGTACAAGACCTCATATTTTCTGGGTGCTTGTAGAATACACTTTCTATGCCATATCAAGTCTTTTTGATACCGTTAGTGGGGTTTTGGGACTCTCGGATTAGAGTAGCCTATCGTGTCACTGGATCATTTGTCTTAGATCTCGTTTACCGACTAAGGTGAACTCGTACTAGTTCAAGCATATCAATTGACGAGACATAATACATAGAACTTGGTAAATATATGTATATTGGTTTAAATTGTCACAGTGAAAAGTGAAACCATCAAAACAAATTTCAAAATACCTATAAATAACAACGTTATTATTTGTAGTACAAAAGATTAATCATAAACAATATGATTTGAGAAGAAGCTGAATTTGTGGAATAGAAGAATAATAAAATTGTTTCGAAACTCAAGATCTATGTGATAACAAAAATTGAGTGCATCTGAACTTTTGAGCGTTTCCAATCCATCTGTAACTATTGATTATGATGATCGTTAGAATCCCAGCCTGGTTGTCTGTGTCTGCTAATACGGCTCAATTCAACAGTCATTGAATTTATTGTTTTAGGTTGGCCACTCGTAATTTTCTTTCGAACTACTCTTACACCATCACATATCATGTTCATTAGGAATTTAACATGATTTTTACTCACAAATTACCAGTAGTACATTAATTACGCCTAATCATTATATTTTAATCTGCCTGATCAATTCTCAACTTCAGTACTAAGTGTAGCGTTTTCTTATCAGAACATCTTCCTATTCGTAATTTGTCTGGTAACTGAAGTCCGAGAACTGGATACTATGAGCAGAAGAAGTTAACAAATTGGACTACGTAACTTTAAGAGAGATTAATCCCTTTCAAGGAACCTCACAAGAGCGTAGCTAAATTACAATATTATCAAGTTATTCCATTTCGTATAGATTGATTCCAAGAGTATTACTGTATCAAGTATTTTGGTTTGCAATAAGGATGCATTGATATTTCCAGTAACTAAAGCGTTTTCCTCGAATTTTAAACAAATACATGTCCACTAGCTTTTTGCGAACACTGAATTTTAGAATGTGAAATACATGTTATTGTATTCAAATATGATTGTGCATTGCAATCTTATTTTCGTAATTAATGTTCTAAAATCAAAGAGCTTATACTTTGATTATTTCGTTCTTATAAAGTCAGTCAGTCAGTCAGTTGCAACGTAGAACTTCGTACGTAAGTACATCAGTTCATGTCGCCATACCACATCAGCACAGAGATATAATTGTCAATTCAAATCCAATAGTAGTAGAGGTAGTAAAGGTATTAGTAGTAATCGGAGAGGTTGGTATTAGAAGACTTTATTGAAGAAGTATGATTCAGTGAGAAAAGTCTAGAAAGTCAAAACTAGAGGTGTTGAAGAATCCAGAAGATTAGGATTTGAGAGAACACAAAGAATAAATGCACCGGCGCCATTGCGATCGATTTTGAGCCATGTCATTCAAGGTCTCTAACCATCGATTATTATCATCTCGCGGACCCCAACCAGGTAGTCGACAATTACCGACATGGCTAAGTCCATTCGTCAATGATTTCATGGATTTCTGCCATGTTTTGGTTTGGCCGCCCCTAACTTTCTTCCAACCTATGCCTACACTACAAAACAAAGCTCGACGAGGCAGTCGGTGGTTGGGCATACGCAGCACATGTCCCAACCACCTCAACTGATGAAGTTTCATTACTTCATCTATTGATCTGCCATTCTTACCTAGTACCCGTTTCCTAATAACAGCGTTGCTCACTCGGGTGTCCCATGTTCTTATAAAAGTCATCTTGAAAAATTAACCTCATTCTTAACTGTGTGTACACACTCTCATAACGTTGCTATATAAGTTTCAGAGGAAAGTGACCAATTCGATAAATATATCTGTAACCGAGTTCCCTTTTAACAGTTGCTAAATTTTAAAATATTTTAATGGTTTGCATGCTTATTTTTGAGGCATTAATTTGATTGATCCGTGTTTTCTTTTTCGCTATTTGTTTATGACTATGTGGTTTTCGTTTATCATTTTTAGTGGATCCAATTCGTGTGGTGACTTTTCTACCAGAGAATAAAGATTACGATTCAGCAAATAGTTTAACACAATGGACAAGCTTTGCTCGATTTGATGTTACTTGGACAGATTCTTCAGAAAAAAATCTAGAAGATTTCCTTAAAAAGTTTGAAGCTAATTCATATTCACGCAAAAACACTGACAATGATTTAGAATATATTCAAAGTCTTTGGGTTCATAATGTAGGCCAAACAACTGAATCAAACAGTAAACTTGTCTTGCCTAATCATGCAAGTTCAAATACACCAAATAATAGTGTAATCAAATTTCTTTGCGATCTATTCTCGTACTCGGATACAGGAGCTTTAATTTATCAAAACGATTTAGATGTAATCATTGAAGTGATCAATCGAAGGTTGCAAGATGAAGAGCCAAATTCTGAAGTATGTTGTATTCATTCATTCATTCATTCAGTTATTGTTTTTAGTAGATTATCATCGATAACCTGTATTTTTACAAATTGAAAGATGTGTTTTCTTGTTAATGTTAGATCTATTTGTTCATGAAAAGCATCAGTATTATTTCTGTCATTTCACAGAGATGCTAGTTGGTTTACCATAAGTTTACTTTACACGTCCCAATGTAGTGAAAGAGAACACAGGTGGGGCAACCGGATTGTATTTACGAAAATTACAGAGTTACTCAGTAAAATCGGTAAACCATATCGTAAATCGTTAATTTGCAAAATATCAGTTCATCATATCGAACTGGACTGTTCCTGTTGCAAAACATCAATCCATTGTCACTATTCATGCGTTTCATACAAATTCCATTGTTTTCTAACTCTTCCTTTCTTGATCTTCCCCCATCTTCTGCTGCCAGACATTACGTTGACACTCACGTCATATACTACTTATAAGTAGCTCGCACCACACCAATAAACTTCATATATCTTATTCCTACCTCCTCAACTAGCGTCGCTTCAATAGGTAAGCTATTAGCGGAGTTAATTAAAACCATTTACATTCACCTTGTTCAGTTATCGTGGCCTTTGTCCTTTGCCTAGACACCTATATACATTCCTTGTATGGTACATCTGCTGGACCCCACCCATTTTGACCAATCCTCTTGTGACATTAGCCATCACACCCATCACTTTATCATATCACCTAGTCTGTTGTAGTACGTGTACTCACAGGGCTTGTTCCAAGCATTCGGACAAATTGAGTAATCCATTCTGCCCAAGTTAATATTCCCTCATCTTTCGACCTTATCAACTATTCGCTTTTATCTTCGTTATTTCTACTCCTAAATGTGTTTGCACCGCTTACTTCGCTTAGTAACATGTCTAGCTTAGTTTGTTCGACTTAAAATACTGAGTCATGCTTTATCGCACAGAGTTTGAATAATCAAAGAAAATGTAGGCTTTCTTTTTGAGTTATATATTCTCTTAATCGGTAAATGTAATTGAATGAAACACAAAATGTGAATTTTTCTTATTCATTTCAGCATCTGCCTCATTTGTTTCTATTGCTTAATATGATATGTATCAATGGAAATATTACGAATAAAGGTTCTTTGAAAATTCACAACACTATGGAACTACTTTCATCCATTTCACAATCATCTTCCTTTAATGCACGTTGCAAATTATTAGCCACTGCTGCATACAATCACTTAAATTCTATTCTTAGTTAATTGGATTGCAAATATTCATGATTCACTCACTATAAATTCACTAACAAGAAACATTTTATTGATATTTCATGTTCTTAGACATTCCTTTTTACTACTTTTCATAATCATCAGAATTCCAAAAATTTTCACATAGATATAATATTTAAACGATACTATTCACAACACAGTGTTAAAGGTGTTTTTTTATTGTCATTATACGAAATTTTTAAAAATTGACATAGAAATATTATTTTACTGTGTGAGATGAACAAACAAAAACAAAGGTGTTTGATAAGACTACATTGATGTGTCTCATATAGCAAGTTCTACATTGCAACTAACTGACCATCTTAGGTATGTATGTGAACGGCATTCATAGTGTTGTGCTTCATGATCAATGAGTTTTTGAATATAAAAAGTTAAATTTGTTGTTATTCGTCAATAAAACAGAGATTCTATGATTTAGCGGTAGTAGGGTTCCGATATCGAAAATGCAGACATTTACTGCGTCAAACATCCATCTTCCATTTATATATATATATATATATATATATTGTGAATTGTTGAAAAACTGTGAGTCACCTAATCGTTTCCAATGATTCAAAAGCAAACAAACAATTTAGGCCTCATTCTTGATTTAAAAATATGAATTCGACTAAATCGTCACTAAATGGAAAATACAACGAACATCAATCTATCAGCGTAAAATATCCGTTCTCCATATAATTGCGCAAGATTTCATGTGCACATGCAGGTGTATGTGTGCTTGTGTATGCTTGTTTGGTGAGTGTGTCTGAGACTATGTGTTCAAACGCGAGTGATGAGGTATATTCGCTTGTGAGATACACATGAGATGATTGTGAACTGTTCTGGAAATCTGCGGGATCTTGACGCACCAGACAGTCGACAAACACAGATGGGTCCGGAGTACGTCATACTTTTCACAATGGATGATTCGTATATTTCAGAATGACCGACCAATTGTCCGGCTATACATCCATCTCTCTGACCAACTTACTGACCTACGGAATCCCTGATTGATGAACTGAACGATGTTCACTATATGTATTGATGTGAGTGCGTGAATGAGACAGAGAGAGCAGAGAGAGAGAGAGAGAGATATTTGTTACTGATGTCAGTATGAAATAGGCCAACAGATGAGAGTGCAGAGACGGGTATACAGTGGGTGTGATACTATAGATTTTGCAAACGACGAGCACACACAATCGCTGTACGAAATAAGGCGGTAGTCATTCACCGTGTGAGAGCGTTCATTAGCACATCCGTAAGAGTTGATTTTAGTGAACACACCGATCCTTCAAATGTCACCAACATGATATAGTGTAAAAATAAGTAGTCCTCAGAAATCGTCATGTTTCGATTACTATTGTAGCCATGAGAGAGGAGTAAAGTGATACAGACTGATTGTGTATTGTCTTTTGAATACATGGGATTGTCGGTAGATGGACTTGTGAATGTCAGTGGTTCATCACTATTCAGTCGACCCTGACCACCCTCGAGATCTTGAGGTGTGAGATGCAGTCACAAAGGCATGTGAGATATTATCTCAGTGAGAATAGAACCACCACCGATTCGGAGTGTATGTGGAGTGGGACGCAACATTCAGGAGGAGCAGAAACAGACCAAACGCTTGGAATAAGATGATTGGTAGACAATCGGTGCTGTGCTGAGCAGTCGTATGAGAGATACGGATGAGCTTTGCTCTGTAGACCGAATTGAGGTTAATTGAAAGAAAGAGTTGTCAGATAGTGAGTGACAGTTGTGATCAGTACCGAATGGAGTTAGTTGAGTATTTTAGGCAGGAGGACAGAAGCGGGAGAGTGATTCGATGAGTATGTGTGTAATATCTGGTGGATGCTTGAGAGTTGTTCATTTCGACAGACTGATGTGGGTGAGAAGAACAGTGACGAATGTGTCTGTGTTTGTTCGCCTGATGGACGTAGAAATTTGACGAGTAGTGGTGTGTGAAAAGAGTGATGGCGGCGACACGCGCGCCGGTAGTGTAGCGGTATCATGCAACCCTCCCACGGTTGCGACCCGGGTTCGACTCCCGGCCGGCGCACAGCTTTTATCTCATCCTACATCACTCACATCAATTGTGTCTTCCTCACACACGAACTCGCCACATTAACTCCGCACAACACGCTGTGACCAATGGTCAACAATATCGGACAATCTGCACGGGTGAATACAACTGCACAGTGAAGACGGACAAGACGAAACACTACACACTGTGCCTCGTGCTTCTCTGCGTCGCACCTGTGGACGATGAGATGTGGTTGACAATAACTCAGATCGGAACACTAACAATGCGTTCGGTGACAACTATGGCAAGTGGTTGGTCGAATTGTCACGAAAAGATCACGTCTCAATGCAGTCGAGTAGTGGACTCAGTCTCGTCGTCAATATGCCAAATATCTGGACGTCTAATCAAATGTGTATGACTCACAGGAATTCTTGTATTGTGCAATGTAGTAAGGCGTTCCGTGTGTGATTGCGCAAGAATTCATGTGCACATGCAGGTGTATGTGTGCTTGTGTATGCTTGTTTGGTGAGTGTGTCTGAGACTATGTGTTCAAACGCGAGTGATGAGGTATATTCGCTTGTGAGATACACATGAGATGATTGTGAACTGTTCTGGAAATCTGCGGGATCTTGACGCACCAGACAGTCGACAAACACAGATGGGTCCGGAGTATGTCATACTTTTCACAATGGATGATTCATATATTTCAGAATGACCGACCAATTGTCCGGCTATACATCCATCTCTCTGACCAACTTACTGACCTACGGAATCCCTGATTGATGAACTGAACGATGTTCACTATATGTATTGATGTGAGTGCGTGAATGAGACAGAGAGAGCAGAGAGAGGGCGAGAGAGATATTTGTTACTGATGTCAGTATGAAATAGGCCAACAGATGAGAGTGCAGAGACGGGTATACAGTGGGTGTGATACTATAGATTTTGCAAACGACGAGCACACACAATCGCTGTACGAAATAAGGCGGTAGTCATTCACCGTGTGAGAGCGTTCATTAGCACATCCGTAAGAGTTGATTTTAGTGAACACACCGATCCTTCAAATGTCACCAACATGATATAGTGTAAAAATAAGTAGTCCTCAGAAATCGTCATGTTTCGATTACTATTGTAGCCATGAGAGAGGAGTAAAGTGATACAGACTGATTGTGTATTGTCTTTTGAATACATGGGATTGTCGGTAGATGGACTTGTGAATGTCAGTGGTTCATCACTATTCAGTCGACCCTGACCACCCTCGAGATCTTGAGGTGTGAGATGCAGTCACAAAGGCATGTGAGATATTATCTCAGTGAGAATAGAACCACCACCGATTCGGAGTGTATGTGGAGTGGGACGCAACATTCAGGAGGAGCAGAAACAGACCAAACGCTTGGAATAAGATGATTGGTAGACAATCGGTGCTGTGCTGAGCAGTCGTATGAGAGATACGGATGAGCTTTGCTCTGTAGACCGAATTGAGGTTAATTGAAAGAAAGAGTTGTCAGATAGTGAGTGACAGTTGTGATCAGTACCGAATGGAGTTAGTTGAGTATTTTAGGCAGGAGGACAGAAGCGGGAGAGTGATTCGATGAGTATGTGTGTAATATCTGGTGGATGCTTGAGAGTTGTTCATTTCGACAGACTGATGTGGGTGAGAAGAACAGTGACGAATGTGTCTGTGTTTGTTCGCCTGATGGACGTAGAAATTTGACGAGTAGTGGTGTGTGAAAAGAGTGATGGCGGCGACACGCGCGCCGGTAGTGTAGCGGTATCATGCAACCCTCCCACGGTTGCGACCCGGGTTCGACTCCCGGCCGGCGCACAGCTTTTATCTCATCCTACATCACTCACATCAATTGTGTCTTCCTCACACACGAACTCGCCACATTAACTCCGCACAACACGCTGTGACCAATGGTCAACAATATCGGACAATCTGCACAGGTGAATACAACTGCACAGTGAAGACGGACAAGACGAAACACTACACACTGTGCCTCGTGCTTCTCTGCGTCGCACCTGTGGACGATGAGATGTGGTTGACAATAACTCAGATCGGAACACTAACAATGCGTTCGGTGACAACTATGGCAAGTGGTTGGTCGAATTGTCACGAAAAGATCACGTCTCAATGCAGTCGAGTAGTGGACTCAGTCTCGTCGTCAATATGCCAAATATCTGGACGTCTAATCAAATGTGTATGACTCACAGGAATTCTTGTATTGTGCAATGTAGTAAGGCGTTCCGTGTGTGATTGCGCAAGAATTCATGTGCACATGCAGGTGTATGTGTGCTTGTGTATGCTTGTTTGGTGAGTGTGTCTGAGACTATGTGTTCAAACGCGAGTGATGAGGTATATTCGCTTGTGAGATACACATGAGATGATTGTGAACTGTTCTGGAAATCTGCGGGATCTTGACGCACCAGACAGTCGACAAACACAGATGGGTCCGGAGTATGTCATACTTTTCACAATGGATGATTCATATATTTCAGAATGACCGACCAATTGTCCGGCTATACATCCATCTCTCTGACCAACTTACTGACCTACGGAATCCCTGATTGATGAACTGAACGATGTTCACTATATGTATTGATGTGAGTGCGTGAATGAGACAGAGAGAGCAGAGAAAGGGCGAGAGAGATATTTGTTACTGATGTCAGTATGAGATAGGCCAACAGATGAGAGTGGAGAGACGGGTATACAGTGGGTGTGATACTATAGATTTTGCAAACGACGAGCACACACAATCGCTGTACGAAATAAGGCGGTAGTCATTCACCGTGTGAGAGCGTTCATTAGCACATCCGTAAGAGTTGATTTTAGTGAACACACCGATCCTTCAAATGTCACCAACATGATATAGTGTAAAAATAAGTAGTCCTCAGAAATCGTCATGTTTCGATTACTATTGTAGCCATGAGAGAGGAGTAAAGTGATACAGACTGATTGTGTATTGTCTTTTGA